TGTGGAATCCTCTATCATGGGTTATGGAGGCTGCTGCTATAATGGCAATTGCGCTTGCAAATGGAGGGGTGAGTGGACTTGGCTTTTGGGACTTTGTATTGGTAATGAAGGTGTGTGTTTGTAGGTTGATTCTTCGGACTTGTTCCTTGAAAACTTGTGCAGGGGAAAGCTCCTGATTGGCAAGACTTTGTGGGTATTATTACCTTGCTTCTCATTAATTCAACCATCAGTTTCATCGAGGAGAACAATGCTGGTAATGCTGCAGCAGCTCTCATGGCTCGGCTAGCTCCAAAAGCAAAGGTATCAAACTCTCTCTTTTTTTTTTGTTTTATCTCAATACTGCCCGGGTGTGTGAATTCTATATTCTTATTGGTGCAGTTAGCAACCGAAAGGAATATATTCTTTATTTTCCCCTTTGTAGTTTCATTTCTCATGAGTTTGTTTGTAAAGGTTCTTAGAGATGGTAGGTGGAATGAGCAAGATGCTGCGGTCCTAGTTCCTGGTGACATAATCAGCATCAAGCTTGGAGATATTATTCCAGCAGATGCTCGGCTTCTTGAAGGGGATCCTTTGAAAATTGATCAAGTGGGTTGTTTTTTTAATATTATTTTTATATATCTATGTTATAGTATTTGTTCTTTGAATTCTCCACATGCGTAATTGGTCAATTATCCTCTTTTTCCTTTGTGTTTTTTAGTCCGCACTTACAGGTGAATCACTTCCAGTGACAAAGGGTCTTGGTGATGGAGTATACTCTGGTTCAACCTGCAAACAGGGAGAGATTGAAGCTGTGGTCATTGCTACTGGTGTTCATACATTCTTTGGGAAAGCTGCTCATCTTGTTGATACCACAAATCAAGTGGGTCACTTTCAAAAGGTAACTTATGAGAGAATGTAACTTTTCACTCCTCCCTCGCAGTCTCACTGATATTCATTGTTCAGAATTTCAGATTTCATTGTTATTGTCTTGTGCTGCTTTTGTCAGGTCTTAACTGCAATTGGGAACTTCTGCATATGTTCAATTGCTGTGGGGATGGTTATTGAGATCGTTGTTATGTATCCCATCCAAGATAGACCCTATCGTCCTGGAATCGATAACCTCCTTGTACTTCTGATCGGAGGAATTCCAATTGCCATGCCCACGGTTTTGTCTGTGACCATGGCCATTGGTTCTCACAGGCTATCTCAGCAGGTCAGTCAGGTCTTTTGGTTGAGCACCTTGGATTTGGGTGGATATATGCAGGGAAGAACTAATGGAGATAATGTCTGTAGGGGGCTATCACAAAGAGGATGACAGCCATTGAAGAAATGGCAGGCATGGATGTGCTTTGCAGTGATAAGACTGGGACTCTGACATTGAATAAGCTTACTGTTGACAAAAATCTAGTTGAGGTTGGATGATTAATGGCCGAATGCTGTTATTTGCTGGTTATTTTTGTGTTTGATATCCATTTCTTCTAATAATTTTTAATTTTAATCAAGGTTTTTGCAAAAGGAGTGGATCCAGATACTGTTATTTTGATGGCTGCTCGAGCTTCGAGGCTTGAGAATCAAGATGCAATTGATACAGCCATAGTTGGGATGTTAGCTGATCCAAAGGAGGTTAGTCATATACATTTATTATTCCCTTGCATTCTTCTAGAGTCACTTTTTAGCTCAAGCCTGCAGCTATAATGTGCACATTCACACACATCTTTCTAAATTCAAGTTGATCTAGCTTTTTCTTTTTTAACTTATGGCCACTGAAGGCACGCGCTGGTATACAAGAAATACACTTTCTTCCTTTCAATCCTACTGACAAGCGGACGGCATTGACCTATCTTGATCAAGATGGTAAAATGCATAGAGTAAGCAAAGGTGCACCAGAACAGGTAATTTGGCAACATTTCTTGCGTAGTTTTATATTAACAGTTGGTCTTGTGTATTCTCATTGTGATGTGATCTGTACATGATATTTAGATCCTGAATCTTGCACACAATAAGGCAGAGATTGAACGTAGAGTTCATTCAGTGATTGACAAGTTTGCAGAGCGTGGTTTACGATCTCTTGCTGTAGCATACCAAGTAATTAATTTATTGCTTAATCAATCGGTGCCTCTTTATACTTACATTTTAAGTTGGAAACGTTAATTTAGTCTTCTTTTTTTCATACAGGAAGTTCCAGATGGAAGGAAAGAGAGTGCTGGAGGTCCATGGCAATTTGTTGGCCTTTTGTCTCTCTTTGACCCACCAAGGCACGATAGTGCGGAAACCATACGTAGAGCACTAAACCTTGGAGTAAATGTCAAAATGATTACAGGTCTGTAACATAAGATAGTGCACACCTTTGCTTTGCTTGTGTTATGATAATGAAATTATAATTCTTTATAGCTTATGAGGTTAATAAGGATTGGAAATAAGTGTTGTATTATATAAGTAACTGATGTGATCTTAGTCCTATGACATCTGATTTTTGTTGCATGTTATTCATCAAACTTGTTACTTATTGATCAGAATTAATTTTTGTTTTTCTTTTTGTGGACGTTATTGGTCTGATTTATTATGGGACATAAATTTACATATTCGTACCAGTAGATGAAGGATTTTGCTTTAGATGGGTTGACAAATCCGCAATCTGATTATCATTTTTATGTACCGAAAGAATTTGTGATCCATGCTGTGGTACCTTTGGAAATTAACTTTTACATTTAAAGTAAAGTTTTTTGTTTTTGAAAATGGCCAACAATATAATGTTTGTACAAAATTATGAACCCTTTATATTCTCCTCCCAATATTCAATTATGTATCTTCCTTTTTCTATCAGGGGATCAGCTAGCTATAGGAAAGGAAACAGGTCGTCGCTTGGGAATGGGTACCAATATGTATCCTTCATCAGCTTTGCTTGGGCAGGACAAGGATGAATCCATTGCTGCCTTACCAATTGATGATCTAATAGAAAAGGCTGATGGATTTGCTGGTGTATTTCCTGGTAGGCTTTTGTGTTGTCATTGCAATTTATCGGTTTGCTTATTATTGACATGTGGTGCTTATTATTGACATGTGGTGGATGGAAGGTTAATTGGTAGTAGTAGTAGTTTATTATTATATGATTCTTTGCTCATATTAGTGGGTTTGTATATTTGGTCAGAGCACAAGTATGAGATTGTGAAACGCTTGCAAGCTAGGAAACACATTTGTGGAATGACTGGTGATGGAGTGAATGATGCACCTGCTCTCAAGAAGGCAGACATTGGTATAGCTGTTGCTGATGCTACTGATGCAGCTCGCAGTGCATCTGATATAGTTCTAACAGAACCGGGCCTTAGTGTTATTATTAGTGCTGTTTTGACCAGCCGAGCTATCTTTCAGAGAATGAAAAATTATACAGTGAGCTATTTATTACTGTTAATATCTTCTCGACAACTCCCCCCTGTTAAATCGTCTATATCATTGTTACTTCTACTGTTATGATCCTCTATATCGTTCATTAGTGTTAGGGAAATATTTTTGTCCTGGTCATCTCTCGTTGTGATAATGAGTGTTTACTTTACTTACATGTGACCAATATGTTTCTTCTATCATGCAGATTTATGCCGTCTCAATTACAATTCGTATTGTGGTGAGTGATTTTGCAACTCCAGGGTTTATTTTCTACCCGGCATGTCATTTTGGATGATGTAACTATCAGACGGGTCTAATTTTTTTGCTAATGTCTACATGTTTGACATGCTTACAGCTTGGTTTCATGTTGCTGGCTCTTATATGGAAGTTTGACTTTCCACCCTTTATGGTGCTTATTATTGCCATCCTGAACGATGGTTCGTTGTTTCTTTTCTTTGTCATTGTTTCCTGTTGACTGTCCCGTGCGGCATGCTTCTCTATATGTGACCTTGAGTTTTATTGGTGGCTAATAGTTATTTAACATTTCAGGAACTATTATGACAATTTCAAAAGATCGTGTAAAACCATCTCCTCTGCCAGATAGCTGGAAGCTAGCTGAGATATTTACTACTGGTGTTGTGCTTGGAAGTTACTTGGCGATGATGACAGTCATATTCTTTTGGGCAGCATACAAAACAGATTTTTTCCCAGTATGTGTTTTATGACTTTAATTTCATATCTGAATTTATCATGACATCTGTGCACGTTGCTTCACCCTTTATGGAAGCAAAGCTAGGACTCATTACTGCTATGATCCAATGTTTCCTATTTATTTGAATCAATGTTCACTCATTACCTGCATAGATTCTTCTTTTGGCTGTTTTGGATGCCTCGTTGATTTATTTATCTTGGCTGCTATATTTTCAGCGAGTTTTTGGAGTCGCAACTCTTGAAAAAACTGCTCATGATGATTTTAGAAAACTTGCGTCTGCAATCTATCTTCAAGTGAGCACTATTAGTCAGGCTCTTATATTTGTAACTCGATCACGAGGTTGGTCATATGTTGAGCGTCCTGGTTTATTGCTGGTGGTTGCTTTTATAATTGCTCAGCTGGTAAGCAACAAAACCATTTTATTGTGCTGTACTTTGTTTTACTGCAACAATTTTGGTGATGGATTTGCTGTGTTGTGCAGATTGCCACTTTGATTGCAGTATATGCCAGCTGGAGCTTTGCTGCAATTGAAGGAATAGGTTGGGGATGGGCTGGTGTTATATGGTTATATAACATAATATTCTACTTCCCACTTGATATCATTAAATTTTTAATTCGCTATGCTCTAAGCGGTAGGGCATGGGATCTTGTCATTGAGCAAAGGGTGAGCAGAGCTTGTTTTGCTGTGTTTGATTAATCATTGAGCAAAGGGTGTATGCTCATGGATTTCATTGTATTGTAGATTGCATTCACAAGGCAAAAGGACTTTGGAAAGGAACAGCGTGAACTTCAATGGGCACATGCTCAAAGAACATTGCATGGTCTACAACCACCTGACAGCAAGTTCACTGAGCGCACACACGTCAGTGAACTCAATCAAATGGCCGAAGAAGCTAAAAGGAGAGCTGAAATTGCCAGGTAATTGTTTTTANTAACTGCAATTGGGAACTTCTGCATATGTTCAATTGCTGTGGGGATGGTTATTGAGATCGTTGTTATGTATCCCATCCAAGATAGACCCTATCGTCCTGGAATCGATAACCTCCTTGTACTTCTGATCGGAGGAATTCCAATTGCCATGCCCACGGTTTTGTCTGTGACCATGGCCATTGGTTCTCACAGGCTATCTCAGCAGGTCAGTCAGGTCTTTTGGTTGAGCACCTTGGATTTGGGTGGATATATGCAGGGAAGAACTAATGGAGATAATGTCTGTAGGGGGCTATCACAAAGAGGATGACAGCCATTGAAGAAATGGCAGGCATGGATGTGCTTTGCAGTGATAAGACTGGGACTCTGACATTGAATAAGCTTACTGTTGACAAAAATCTAGTTGAGGTTGGATGATTAATGGCCGAATGCTGTTATTTGCTGGTTATTTTTGTGTTTGATATCCATTTCTTCTAATAATTTTTAATTTTAATCAAGGTTTTTGCAAAAGGAGTGGATCCAGATACTGTTATTTTGATGGCTGCTCGAGCTTCGAGGCTTGAGAATCAAGATGCAATTGATACAGCCATAGTTGGGATGTTAGCTGATCCAAAGGAGGTTAGTCATATACATTTATTATTCCCTTGCATTCTTCTAGAGTCACTTTTTAGCTCAAGCCTGCAGCTATAATGTGCACATTCACACACATCTTTCTAAATTCAAGTTGATCTAGCTTTTTCTTTTTTAACTTATGGCCACTGAAGGCACGCGCTGGTATACAAGAAATACACTTTCTTCCTTTCAATCCTACTGACAAGCGGACGGCATTGACCTATCTTGATCAAGATGGTAAAATGCATAGAGTAAGCAAAGGTGCACCAGAACAGGTAATTTGGCAACATTTCTTGCGTAGTTTTATATTAACAGTTGGTCTTGTGTATTCTCATTGTGATGTGATCTGTACATGATATTTAGATCCTGAATCTTGCACACAATAAGGCAGAGATTGAACGTAGAGTTCATTCAGTGATTGACAAGTTTGCAGAGCGTGGTTTACGATCTCTTGCTGTAGCATACCAAGTAATTAATTTATTGCTTAATCAATCGGTGCCTCTTTATACTTACATTTTAAGTTGGAAACGTTAATTTAGTCTTCTTTTTTTCATACAGGAAGTTCCAGATGGAAGGAAAGAGAGTGCTGGAGGTCCATGGCAATTTGTTGGCCTTTTGTCTCTCTTTGACCCACCAAGGCACGATAGTGCGGAAACCATACGTAGAGCACTAAACCTTGGAGTAAATGTCAAAATGATTACAGGTCTGTAACATAAGATAGTGCACACCTTTGCTTTGCTTGTGTTATGATAATGAAATTATAATTCTTTATAGCTTATGAGGTTAATAAGGATTGGAAATAAGTGTTGTATTATATAAGCAACTGATGTGATCTTAGTCCTATGACATCTGATTCTTGTTGCATGCTATTCATCAAACTTGTTACTTATTGATCAGAATTAATTTTTGTTTTTCTTTTTGTGGACGTTATTGGTCTGATTTATTATGGGACATAAATTTACATATTCGTACCAGTAGATGAAGGATTTTGCTTTAGATGGGTTGACAAATCCGCAATCTGATTATCATTTTTATGTACCGAAAGAATTTGTGATCCATGCTGTGGTACCTTTGGAAATTAACTTGTACATTTAAAGTAAAGTTTTTTGTTTTTGAAAATGGCCAACAATATAATGATTGTACAAAATTATGAACCCTTTATATTCTCCTCCCAATATTCAATTATGTATCTTCCTTTTTCTATCAGGGGATCAGCTAGCTATAGGAAAGGAAACAGGTCGTCGCTTGGGAATGGGTACCAATATGTATCCTTCATCAGCTTTGCTTGGGCAGGACAAGGATGAATCCATTGCTGCCTTACCAATTGATGAACTAATAGAAAAGGCTGATGGATTTGCTGGTGTATTTCCTGGTAGGCTTTTGTGTTGTCATTGCAATTTATCGGTTTGCTTATTATTGACATGTGGTGCTTATTATTGACATGTGGTGGATGGAAGGTTAATTGGTAGTAGTAGTAGTTTATTATTATATGATTCTTTGCTCATATTAGTGGGTTTGTATATTTGGTCAGAGCACAAGTATGAGATTGTGAAACGCTTGCAAGCTAGGAAACACATTTGTGGAATGACTGGTGATGGAGTGAATGATGCACCTGCTCTCAAGAAGGCAGACATTGGTATAGCTGTTGCTGATGCTACTGATGCAGCTCGCAGTGCATCTGATATAGTTCTAACAGAACCGGGCCTTAGTGTTATTATTAGTGCTGTTTTGACCAGCCGAGCTATCTTTCAGAGAATGAAAAATTATACAGTGAGCTATTTATTACTGTTAATATCTTCTCGACAACTCCCCCCTGTTAAATCGTCTATATCATTGTTACTTCTACTGTTATGATCCTCTATATCGTTCATTAGTGTTAGGGAAATATTTTTGTCCTGGTCATCTCTCGTTGTGATAATGAGTGTTTACTTTACTTACATGTGACCAATATGTTTCTTCTATCATGCAGATTTATGCCGTCTCAATTACAATTCGTATTGTGGTGAGTGATTTTGCAACTCCAGGGTTTATTTTCTACCCGGCATGTCATTTTGGATGATGTAACTATCAGACGGGTCTAATTTTTTTGCTAATGTCTACATGTTTGACATGCTTACAGCTTGGTTTCATGTTGCTGGCTCTTATATGGAAGTTTGACTTTCCACCCTTTATGGTGCTTATTATTGCCATCCTGAACGATGGTTCGTTGTTTCTTTTCTTTGTCATTGTTTCCTGTTGACTGTCCCGTGCGGCATGCTTCTCTATATGTGACCTTGAGTTTTATTGGTGGCTAATAGTTATTTAACATTTCAGGAACTATTATGACAATTTCAAAAGATCGTGTAAAACCATCTCCTCTGCCAGATAGCTGGAAGCTAGCTGAGATATTTACTACTGGTGTTGTGCTTGGAAGTTACTTGGCGATGATGACAGTCATATTCTTTTGGGCAGCATACAAAACAGATTTTTTCCCAGTATGTGTTTTATGACTTTAATTTCATATCTGAATTTATCATGACATCTGTGCACGTTGCTTCACCCTTTATGGAAGCAAAGCTAGGACTCATTACTGCTATGATCCAATGTTTCCTATTTATTTGAATCAATGTTCACTCATTACCTGCATAGATTCTTCTTTTGGCTGTTTTGGATGCCTCGTTGATTTATTTATCTTGGCTGCTATATTTTCAGCGAGTTTTTGGAGTCGCAACTCTTGAAAAAACTGCTCATGATGATTTTAGAAAACTTGCGTCTGCAATCTATCTTCAAGTGAGCACTATTAGTCAGGCTCTTATATTTGTAACTCGATCACGAGGTTGGTCATATGTTGAGCGTCCTGGTTTATTGCTGGTGGTTGCTTTTATAATTGCTCAGCTGGTAAGCAACAAAACCATTTTATTGTGCTGTACTTTGTTTAACTGCAACAATTTTGGTGATGGATTTGCTGTGTTGTGCAGATTGCCACTTTGATTGCAGTATATGCCAGCTGGAGCTTTGCTGCAATTGAAGGAATAGGTTGGGGATGGGCTGGTGTTATATGGTTATATAACATAATATTCTACTTCCCACTTGATATCATTAAATTTTTAATTCGCTATGCTCTAAGCGGTAGGGCATGGGATCTTGTCATTGAGCAAAGGGTGAGCAGAGCTTGTTTTGCTGTGTTTGATTAATCATTGAGCAAAGGGTGTATGCTCATGGATTTCATTGTATTGTAGATTGCATTCACAAGGCAAAAGGACTTTGGAAAGGAACAGCGTGAACTTCAATGGGCACATGCTCAAAGAACATTGCATGGTCTACAACCACCTGACAGCAAGTTCACTGAGCGCACACACGTCAGTGAACTCAATCAAATGGCCGAAGAAGCTAAAAGGAGAGCTGAAATTGCCAGGTAATTGTTTTTATTTGGTAAGAAATTCAAGTGGGGATAAACATCAAAATATATATAAGAATTTCATATGTTTTGAGTCTTGGTTATTTATTTTGAATAATTGTATGCAGGTTGAGAGAACTTCATACACTAAAAGGTCATGTAGAATCAGTTGTGAGATTGAAGGGACTTGACATAGACACAATTCAGCAAGCATACACAGTTTGAATATGCTTATTATATATTTGCATAGTTATACTGTAAAGATTTACATTCTAATGTTGCTGAGAAGAATATAATGTAATGATTACACATGTTCAACTTTAAAGTCCTTTTTACTCTGCAGTTTGTTTTGAGCACTTAAATGAGTGCTTTTGTGAGGTTAATTTATGAGATCTTGTTTCTTTTTAGTTATCACTCCAACTCTCAGGTTTTCTCCCCAATTTCATGATGGCAGGAACGGTGAGATTCACCATTGTATTCTATGCTTCTGAACTCATTTTCTATCAATATAACTCCTCGGTTTCTTTCATTTTTGGACTATAGTTTGGTTTATTTATAAGCAAAAATGTGAAGGAGATAAACACCTTGTTCACTTTGATATTTTTAGGTGAGGAGAGTATTTTAACAATAAAGTGCATTATTGTAACTTTTAATGAAGATAGAGGTGTCATGTCATATGAGTTGAGTTAATTCGGTCACTAATTTCTTGGGTTGGTAAAAGAAGGTTCACCTTTTTCTCTGTTCAAACGAATTGGTTTACTAACTTTGGGATCCTATTTATATAGTCTTTAACATATATTATAAAAAATAGTAATAGTTGTTGACAAAAAAGAGATATCATCGTTATATATAGTCTTTGAAAAATTAATAAATAAATATATTATAAAGGATATAATAAAAATAATAATTATGCATAATCTGTTTGAAAAAAAAAACACTCGTTGTCAAACAATTTTTACAAAAAATGATTTTATAATTTGTTTTCATTTTATAATTTTTGTTTTATATAATTTTATCTAATTTTCACAAGCATAATGACATCCAAAGAAATTGGTAATTGACTTGGAAAAAATCAGAAACACTTCCGATTAAACAATATTTTATCTAATTTTCACAAGCATAATGACATATAAAGAATTGGTAATTGGTCTAGAGGATTTTTTAGAGATGATGATTTAACATCTGCAGATGATAAAATTAGAGAGGTTAGTGAAGATGATGAAATTGAAGAGATCTTGAATGAACCTTCTGAAGGCGAATATGCCAATGACTTAACTCTTTACAAAGGCAAATTGTTTAACCGCGAATGTTTCTGATTTTTTCACTTGGAGCTACGGTAAGGTGACAAAGAAGATGTTAGAGTGAGAGAGATGAAAGAAAAATGCTTGAGAGGAACGAGGGAGGTAAGCAAGGGTTTGAGAGTTTCTTGTTTTTTTTTTAGTTTTGATAATGAAATTATTCAAATACACTTGACCTTAAAACTTACAATTCATGATATATAAGAGTATTTTTGTCTACTAAAACCCGGTACACATGGCTAAAATGTACCTACAGACAAACAAGCGTATGCGTTAGCAAACCATATATATATACATATATATTATAACGTGAGGGACTTTAATGAACATTTTATTAGTGACTCCAAATTGCATCAAATAAATTAATAATAGAATAAAATTATAATTAGCCTAATATTAACAAAAGAAATTGCGTTTACTTGCTTTACTATTACAAAAAAAGAAATTGGCCTTACTTAATTTAATATTATTAATGAAAATACACGTGTTCATTTTTTTTATGATAATAAAAAAAAATATTATTATTTATTATTATTATTATTATTATAATTATAAAAATAAAATAAAATTATTTTATATATTTTTTATTTAAAAGAAAAAAATTGAAAAATAAAAGTGAAAAATAACTCCTGTGTATAGATACCAAATGACATCACATTTTCTAGTTTTTGAATGAAAGATACTCACATTTCTTGTAATTTTAACATAGCCACATTCGTCTCCGTTCGTTCCTTTCTATATATATTTTTAAATATTTATATTTTAAAACTTCAATTCTTAATATACTTTTTATTTATGTTTTAATCATTATGATGTTTTAAAATCAATTAGAGAAGTGAGTATTAACCTTATTAAAAATATAATAAAAGTGAATGTGATTCCTTAAAAACGCTAGAGAAATAGTATCTAACATATTATAAGCCAACAACTTCCTCTAATAATAATAATAATAATTTTTCAAACAACAAATTTTAAGCTTTTCACTTTTAACTAATTTACACTATACGGAGACCATTCCCACGGTGTTTTTAACAAATTTTTATATTATGACTACATTAACATCCTCTTGTTAGTAAATAAAGATAATCAAACAGTGAACTATTGCTTTTAACAGTGTACTGAAATTAGTTAAATAAATGTTATTAGTATATTAATAATTAAATTTTATATCAAATTGAAAAAATTAAGAGTGGTCATTTCTTGGTAATAAAATTAAATCATGGAAAAAATTGTATGAATAACGTGTTTAGGTTAGGTGTTTATTTGAGGGATGAAAAGTTGATAAATACGAGGTATTTGAAAATAAATTGTGTATTGTTTTTCTCAAAAAAATTTAAAGATTATTGAAAATGAATTTATGAGTAAAATTGTGTAGAATTTAACTAATATAATAAATAAAAAATTATTTTGGATAAAAAATAAATATTATTAAATTATTTTTAGTTATAATAGTAATATAAAATGATATTTATGAATAATGTTTTTAGTAAAAATTATTTTAAATAGTAAAATAACATAATTAAAATAATATTTTTTTAAGAAAATCTAATTTTTGTTTAAATATTACATTTAAAAAAATATAAGTTACAATGAGAATCTATTACAAGTTTCGTTTATGAGGTCCACTTGCAGTCATGGAATTGATTATAAAGAAAGTTGAAATCGATTACCATGACTGAAATCAATTATCTTTTACGAACTCATGTCATGAGATCAGATATATTGCTAGAATCAGAAATAATTAATTTAAAACGAAATAGAATTTCATGATAAATTTGGCAGGCCAAATATGCAGACAAATGACATTTATCAGAACAAAAAGAAAATTTTCCTTCTATCCTTCAAACTGCGGTCAACATTACATAGATTAACAAACCCCACTATCGTGTATTTTCTCGTTTTACATCGCGCGTGCAAATCTATGGGACGAACATGAATTCATCCACAATCCATATGCACAAATGACGTAACAATAAATTTACTCCAATCTACAACCTCATAGATTATGCGTAATAAATTTTCATTTCATTTGAGCAAGCATTCCTTCAACGTTGCAGGAATATTTTCTTCAACGATACTTAATTTCCCTTTTATTTGTGTTTGGACTAATTTGTTAAATTTGGTGAGAAATAGTTTCATGAATAATGATAATGATACTTTGAGAATATTTTTTTGATAGATATTTTAACCAATCATTTATATATCATGTATACGTGAATTAATCTCAAATTGTTTCATTTCAACAATCAACATTAAAACTTAAGTTAAAACATCCCTAGGATAACATAACGACGTAAAAATAAACGAATGGATAACCCTAACGGGTAAACTGCGTTCCCCTGTTGTCCCCCCACTCTTGGTTCGCCCGATCCTGCCCCGTACCCGCCTCGTTGTTCTTCATTTCTGCAGCTCTGCCCCTCTTTCTGCTACCCTTCACCGTTGCTTTTTTACAACCATTTTTGTCAGAAAATGAAAGTGTGACTGCAGTGGGGTGGTCACATCCTTGATTAAGAGAACAATAAAAACCAACGAGAAGAGCAGAAGATAATGTTTGTAAGAGAAGGGCACTCGGTTAGCAATAAATGAGTCTGAACACAAACACAACGTGTTTGTCGTCATGGACCATTCAACTCCATTAACATATCACTTTATCAGTTAAAATTATATTGTTTTTTGATTTTTTAATAATGTTTTTTAGTAATGTGGAAACTGAAATTTAATTTTTATTTTAAATTTTAATATACTTCGATTCATAAAATTTAAAAGAAAATAAATATAATCTCTTAACCAAACCTAACAATACTATCTTAATTTATCTTTTAAATAATATTTTTAATTAATATTTAAATCATGTTAAAACAATATAAATAATTCAAACACGATTATAAAAGATAGATTTATCACATAAAAATAATTTAATCAATTGGATCAGAAGTATTATGTTTATTTATTTTTAAATTTAAAAATTAAATTTATCAAAATTATTTAATTTTTATGTTAAAATTTAGCAATTAAAAACATATTTAATGAATTTTAATTTTATATCAAAGGAAAAAACAGATTTAATGTAATTATCTTAATATTATGTAAATAATTCTCTTAAATGTAACAAATCTAAAACTTGTTTGATAACTTTTGTAAATGATGATAAACATGCATCTTATTATAACAATGTTGAGGAGATGTGGTTGGATACGATGGTGATAAGATGATTCAGACAAGTCAACAAGTCAATTTATGTTGCTGTTTCTTCTAGAAATCTTTTGACTGTTTCATCTTTCATCATTGAAGACATTTAGAAATTGGATTCCCTTTTTCAACTAAAAGCGGAATTTAGTGCATCCTCTGTTTATTCAAATTTTCTGGTAGTGGGTACAACCAAAATGCTTAGGGTCCCACCTCGTAGAGATATACAAACAGGACAATCATAAAAGTAGAGGAAAAACTATAATGACAATACAGATTATTTTATTAGAAAAAATGAAAAATAATTTTCATTGTCATTAACAATTTTATTTATTATAAAAATTAAAAAAATATTTATAATTAATGGTAGAGGACCTTTTATTATGTCAGCCATTTATGCCTAAATATGTTCTTCATTTCCAAACAAGTTATTTTAAAATATTTGTGATATTATTAAAACATAATTGATATTTTTTTCTCTTCCATTTTGTTTAAAATATTTCCCACATCTTCCTGTAAAACTTTCTTTCTGTCTTTTGAGTTAACCAAATTTGTATAATTTCACTATTTCTATGGTTTTTTTCTTCACTAATGGAAGAGTTTTCATACAAGCAGATGGAGTGTCATAGTGGAGTTCATGTAAAACAGTTGCACAGAGAAAAAAGAAATTAAAATAAAAGCTTTTGAAAGTGTAATTATTTATTAGTTTAATTTAAATTTTAAAAGACTGCTGGTAAATACATATATTTGAGGAAAACACAAGCTTCTGCTTACTTTTTTAAAAAGGTTGTTAAAATGGTCAAATTTAAAAATATTTTGAAAGTAGATAAGTTGTGGTAAGGTTATATGATTTTATTTGAAAAACATAGTGTCAAAGTAATACGTTTAAAATAATTTTAAAGTTTGAAATCGTATTAAAGTGATACGACTTTAGTCGAGAGTATTTCAAACTAAAATCATATTATTTTGATACGATATTTATCAAAACTAAATAATTTAAGACGTAGTGAACTAAAATAATATCATATTGAGATAACTTTAATTTAAAAGTGTTCTTTACTAAAATCATGTTATTGTGCATTAACTTCTTCATCATGTTAAGATAAAACAACTTATTCATTCGTAATTTTTTCTAAATATTTATTTTAATAATTTTAAAAAAAATTATACCATAATAATGTTTTTGTTTATATTTAACTATTAATGCAATGATAAATAGATTAACTTGGAAAATTATTTTACATTTAAAACTTTTAAGAAATAATATAACTATATATATTTTTAAAACTACTTAATTATATATACTAATTTTTCTATTCTTTTATAGGTTATTTTAAAACTTATATTTTTTCATTGGCTTAAATCAAAACTGAAATACATTTGTTTCTCTTCAATGAAAATATCTTTATAATATTTTATAACCTGTAAAAAGAAATCCAACTTTTGAACCTACCATACATTATAATATAGTTACTTAATATCATCATATTATAATACTTAATAAAAGCATACTATCTTTATAGTAGGCTCCATAATATACTGATATTAAAAAGGTCATATTATAGATATTGTCCTTTATGAACTTAGGATTCATATACATATCTCATTTTATTGATTAACTTAATCCCATATATATAATTTGTCATAAGTCATATTTCTTAAGGTAATACTATCTGTGTGGACTTTCCATGTCATTTTATCCCATGTTCATGTGCTGGCAATGTGATTTTCCTTTAAAAAGTTGATCTCAAATCCAATATGCCAAAGTTTCTCCTTTAGAAATAATTAATTGTTCCGTACTCAATTTCATAAGCAAAATACCAACAATATTCTAAACTTTCATAACTACAAACTTAAAAGTTTAGATTTTCAATTTTTTCTCTAACTCTAATAGTAAACTAAAATATGATTATTTTATCAAAGATAATTTGTCTTGCCTTTAAAATATTTGAGTTCAAGAAATCACTCAGAGGAGGAGAACCATCAATATTCTAAAGATCTAAAATATAAAACCAAAAACATTTGAATCAACGATGAAGCTAGTTGAGAATCACTTTTTCCAACTATTCAAAACAAAACTGATTACAAAACTAAATAGAAAGAATAATAAAAGAATTTTCAAAATGAAGGTAATAATTTTCAAAATAAAGACATATGATTTGAATTTTATTTATTAAAAAATATCGTTAATTTACTAATTATGACAAGGTATAATATGAATTTTTTTAAATATATATTAAAATTAAAGTTAAAATCTTAGAAAATAGAAAATGAGAAAAACTTAGATAGATGTTTTAACTTACATACATGAAAAAGAAAAAAAGAAATGATTTTAGGGTATATTAAATTCTTCAACTCAATTTACAAAAACATTAATGTCGTGTTCACTTTAAATATTTACAGTTGTTGATGATATGCAACTATGGATTGCAAATGAATTTATGTTGTTTTTATAAATTTGTCGCGATGAAAAGAGGGATTTGCGGAAGAACAAATTCTCAATCTTTCAGCCCAGCACGATTTGCACGGAATCTGTCATAAAATTTCAATTTTACCCTTTATGTTAATGTTTGTGATTGAAATGGATCTCCACACATGATTTAATATATAATAATAATAATATAATAATAATAATAAATAATAATAATAATAAATAATAATAATAATAATATATTATTATTATTATTAACTTTAATTTTTTACTCTTTATAAATATTTTTACAATTAAATATAATATTAACAATTATCATTTTATATTACTTTAATAACTAGAGATATTTTGGTAATTTTTAATTTCTATCAATTATCGTATCAATCAAATCCTACACTAATTTTGAGAAACTTTACTTTGAAATTCATTCTCAGTTGCTTCTGAATCCACTCAAACAAACAACAAAAACTTTACCCTCAAATCCTTTCAAATTCACACTCACTCACTCTCGCAAATCATCTCCCACAAATCTACCCATGTGAACAAAGCCTAAAAAAAAATAATAATTCATCAATTACTCAAGTAAACCTTTAACAAATATTTAGAATATAAACCGAGACATATTTTTAAATTATAAAAAATATTTTAAATTTATAATAAAAAATTAATTTATCTAAAATTTAAGAAATTATCAAACATATTTAAGGATATTACTATAATACATTTTGTCATTATTTTCCATCTTTGTATCATTATATTTCATATATATTTTTTTAAAAAATAGTAGAATTGTATCGTGGGTAGGATACAAAATAATTCAAACGGTTGGTATAGAGACATACCTACTTTTCTGCTTTTTGAAGCCCATGAAGGCTCTACTTTATTTATTATTATGAGGTTGAGCATTCCCGTACTTTAACTCTTTAAAAGCATGAACTAGGGGACCTGCCGTCTCATCTATTTCAACCACTATTTGTTAATTGCAAAATCAGTTAGTAAGTTTATTTCAAAAGAACTCCCATAAAAAACCAACCTACTTTTTTTAAGTTTTTTTTTTTTTTAATGTTCAAGTCGTCTTTATAACATGAGTTTTATATGTTTTTTAAAAAAATATTTACTATTAGAAACAGTATTTTAGTTTTCTTTTCTTAGCAAAGTTAATTTTTAGAGTACTTTAGTTTAAACTAGTTATGCTTAAAAGTAAGATTTCAACTATTATAATAAAATGAATAAATTAGTTGAAAACAAATAAGGAAAACGTGTTTTTTTATTATTAAAAATAAGTTCTGTTAAGATTGATAATATTTCATTTATTTTTTATCAGCAATTAATTGTTTTTACACTATAATTTATATAAAAATGTTAAATTACAGTTAAATAAATTGATAAAAAATAATTTTAAAATTAGGTAAAAGAAAAATTAAATATATCCGTAATTACCATTTTAGTGTAAATTAAGAAGCACCAAGTGTTGTGATAACTAACTTCATCCTAAACTAAAATAATACTCTCATCATTGTGTATTATTAGCATTAATGTTAATCTAATTTTTAAAACACGTGAAATAAACAAAAATTCTTTAAAATCTCTTATTCTTTAAAAAAGTTGTTCTCCCAGTTGAGATACCTTTTATGTAATTGACGTAGATAATATTTTTTATGATAATTATTTAGACTGTTGTCAATCGAAAAATGTGACATAATTAAAAGCAATATAAAACTTTGTAGTACTTATTTAAAGTGAATCATTAACATAAGTTAGTGTACTTATTTATTATATTGAATGCGTGATAGTGAAGATCATGACGTAAAATATTCTAAACTATTGTGTTTAAATGAATGATTGTTGTGTCTTTTAATTGCAATTTCAACAAATTGTATCGCCTATCGCCTATTACATAAAATCATGGTTAGAATGTTGTTGCTTCTGCGCACTATCATTCTCAAGTTTCAACCAAATAAAAATTATGGTTTTGGGTTTTTGAAAAACAAAACAAAGTACAACAATGGCCTAAAATGAGGTGAAATTAAACTGGATCCTCAGCAGAGTTAAGTATAAATATGCAAAAAAGATAAAGAAATCTCAGTAAGGTTTATTGATAGAAATTGAGAAATTTTATTCAAATCATCTAAGTCACATCAATAACTACTCATTTGTTGGGACAACAAATCTACGTTGGATAAATATGAAATACACAATTATGTACGAGCCATACGATACCATCCCTTAATAAGAGACGTTTGAAGTGAATCTAAAAGGAAATCCAAGATTTGTTTTAACAACTTTTAGTTCAACCTCTCCTTTACCTCATTCACTTCTGACCCCACACTTATTGTTTTTATAAAAAAAAATTTCAAATAGGTTACTATTTAGAAGCGCATTCGAACGAAAATATACTTAATAAATTTCTTTTCAACTTAATAACATGAATCATATTAATCTATGTCTCTTTTTTTTGACATAATCCCTATTTTAGCACGTCAAATAATGTAAAGTTTAAATATTAGGATAAAATATCGTTTAACATTTAATTTCTTTTTTACAAAATCAAATTAAAATGATTATATCTATTCATTTTTAAAGTTTAAGACCAAACCATATCAACATTTGAAAAAAAACAAATTTTAATTTTACAATTCAAAAATATTTACTCTTTATATATCTTATATATATATATTATTTGTTTCACATTAATCTCTACACACTAAAAAATTTACACTAAACTAAGAAAATATTATGAATAATAAGATAAATTAATTATATTTCATCAAAGAATAAATTACAGGTATTTGGTCTTATTTGATATTCACCACTAAACAAATCCTTGGTATAATTGCAATAAATATAAAATAAAGTATTGAATATAAAAAAAAAAAGTCGTATTTAAGCATATTAAAGTCCATGATGATTAAATAAGATGATTTGTTTTTGTAAAGCATCATACAAATATTCTTATCAAATAAAATTATTATTCGTTTACAAAAGTTAAATTGTAATTTTTTCTAGCGTCATAATAGTTTGATATCTCTATTTTTCTCTTACACATTTTTTTTCTACATTCATTTAATAATGTTTTTGAAAATATAATATTATATTAAAGTAAAAATAATAAATGTATATAAAATAATAATATATGAACTTGTAACTTGAGGATAAAAGAAAGTTTCTTTCAATATAAAAAAAGAGGAGAATTGATCTTCTAAAAAGATATTAACCATAAATAGTCAGTCATAAGTTGAACTTCTTTTTGGAAAATTTATCCATACAAAGTTCCACAGTATCTCGATCAGAATTATTTTGAAAGAAAATACTCATGCAAAGCAAAAAATATTATGGGACGTTAATCATAATAAAAATAATAGCAAAATATAAGTAGTTGTTAAAGAAGCATGGTTCTAAAAAGATGGACTACTTATTAGTATGATTATAATTATACCTTAAACAGCAACAGTGGATGTTTCGGATTGTTTGGGTACTTGTTTGAGTTCAAGGCTACCGGTATAATTTTCCTTGTACTTAAACCATTGTGAACACAATATAAAGTAACCCAAATTCATGATTTCTAGAGCAGCAATCATGTAATAAAACAAATCCAATCTCCCCTTGTTAAGATCTTCTGGTAACCAATTCCCCGAGGCAGATTTAGAACTGCTATTGTGAACAATTGTGATAAGAAGAGTGCTCAAATAACTGGACCCTGCCATGCCACAGTAGAAAAGTGACCCTCCAATGCTTCTCATGTTCTCAGGGAATTGTTTATAGTATAATTCAACTTGTCCAACCGCAGTAAATGACTCAGCTAGACCAGCAAGTGCTAACTGAGGAATTAACCATAGACCTGACATAGATGAAATATCACCTTTTCTTGGTTGCACTCCTATGGGATTGGTCAGAGCCAAGTTTCTTCTATGCTCTTCAACAACTGCTGCTACTAGCATGCACAGTGCAGAGAGAAAAATACCAGTTCCCATCCTCTGGAGGAGTGTGATGCCACCCTCTTTTCCAGTGAGTCTACGGAGGAAAGGGACCAATATTCTATCATAGATTGGTAGCCATAAGGTCATGCTCAACATCAAGAACACATTGTAGGATGCACCCGGGATTTTGAAGTTACTGTGTCCGACACGCCTATCGGATTGAAGGGCTTGAAACACAAGAAGGGTGTGATTTTGGACAATAACTAAGTGGTACAAAATGGCTGATAACCATATGGGTAATACTCTCACCACACATTTTGCCTCCTCCACTTGCTGTATGCTGCAAAGGTTCCATGGATTTCCTGCAGATCCATCTGGGTTTATTTTATCTTGTGGGGTCACAATGGCTGCTTTATCCAATAACCTATTCATGTATTTCAGTTACAAACTTAGGACTTGTTTAATATATATATATATCATTTTCACAAATAATTACAAAACTTATCAATTGTTCCCAAAACAAATAATTAATCCATACTACTTATTGAGAAGCAAATTATCCACCCAGAAATTGCTGAAGTTAAAAGTTAAGCTCGATGTAGTTACCTGAACTGAAAGGTGTAAGGGAGCCTAGAGTTAATGCTCTTGGGAGGCACATAGTTGAAAAGGGAAATGGTTTGATGTTCTGCAGGTAGTTTTAAACTCCTTTTCTTGGTTGCAACAACCAAAACTTGCACAATACTAGTGATGGGGCTACCACTTGGTTTAACCTTGACATAAATTTTGGCCCCCATGAAGTACACTATACAAGATATGAACATCAAGGCTGCAGGAATTCCCAACCCTATTGCCCAGCTAACATTTGACTGTACATACACAATTAGCGTTAAAGAGACCATCTGGGCAAAAGTGAAGGTAAAAAAGTACCAATTGAAGAAGCTGTTAATCCCTTTCTTCCCTGAATCTGTTTTGGGATTGAACTGATCAGCTCCAAATGCCAAGTTACACGGTCTCACCCCAGCAGCACCTACCAGCAGCAAACCAAATCCAGCCAATAGAAAAGTCATTTGCCCTGCAGTTGGTCCTCTGCATGTTTTGCTCTCCTTTGCACAGTGAGGTGGATGCAGATTCTTAAATACAGCAGTAAGTTGTATCACAAGCAATCCCTGTTCAGATGCAGGTGAAACAATTACAAAGGGTCAAATATGTATGTATTAAATTACTAGTATACAAGTAATTGATGCAGATGTGTTAGTTTTTCTGTAAACTGTGGCTTGTTGTGAAATAATAGTAGATATTTGGTGAAGAATTTTTTTGAAATTGTACCAAAAAAGAAGTGAATGTGCAGAATCCTATTGTCTTGTAGCGACCAAAGTAGGTGTCTGATAAGAAGGCACCTATCAAGGTAGCAAAGTTGGTGCTGCCACTGAAGATGTTGATTATATTTGTGGCTGTGATGTTCTTCAGGTTGAATACAGTGGTGAGATAGACCAAGAGGTTGGCTAAGGTGCCAATGGCTCCCAATTTCTCAAAAGTTTCATTTCCTGCAAATTACACAAACAAGTCATTCGAAAGGTAAGACTAACTGTAAAAACACCGAACACACACACACACACACCCAGAAAGCATTTAGGATATAAAAGATTGTCATTCCTTACCTATGATAAAGGGCATAGCCTTCCATCCTCTGTAGTTAATCTTAGGATCACTGTCTGTCACATGTTTCTCATTGTTCTCTGTACTTTCTTTCTCCATTGTCTCTATAGTTGTTCTCCCTGCCTCTTCAGCTCCCATTTGTTCAGGATTCTGTATATGAACTCTGTTGCTCCTTCACAGTAGGGAGAAAGAAACGTGTTTTTGGTGTTGGGTAATGAAAGTTGAACAAGACATGAGAAGAAGAACAGTGAAGTTCTTATATGAATGAACGACAAAGACTTTTTTCTGTGGTTGATGCTCAAAAATGAGATTTCACTTTGAAACTAAATTATTCGAAGTAAAAAGAAATAATATATCTCACACACAAATTTTTAATGTTCATTTGATCTTATTTTTTTCTTAAAAATAACAAGTATTCTTTTTTTTAACTATTTTATCATATTAAATAAATATACTTGTATAGCATTTTATCCTTATCCTACAATTAAGATTAATATAATCTAAATGAATGGTTCACATCTAATAATTTAATAATCTAGGAAAAAACATGAAAATTAAGGATAGTTTTGAAACGATTTATTTTTGTCAAAGTCTAATCAAGTAACTTTTTTTGTAATAAATAAAAGAGTTTAATTTTGATGTTATATTTAATTACATAAATGAGTCAGATTCATACTTGATTGAGTTTTTTTTCAAAGAAACTGATTATAACTTATATGCATATATATATATATATATATGTTAACTATCATTGTTAATAAAATAATTATAATAGAATTACCTAATACAAATTTCAGATCATTAATATATTATTTAATTTTTGTTTTGATTAGCTTATAAATTATAAAAAATTTAATAAATTGTTGAAAAAAAATTATTTATATTTTGTTCCAATTTCATGATATATGTCTTAACTTTCCGTCGAAATATTTTTAAATTTCTCTTCTCATTCAATAGATATCAAAATGATGACAAAAAGCCTGTATTTAAAGATATTCAGAAATGAAATTTGAGATAAAATATCAAATGAATGAAGGATGTTTTGGGTATTTAAACTGAGTTTGTCAATAGGGTAGGGGCAGCCATCATATGACCAGGTATCACCAAATAAAATCGAACGTATTTTATCAAATCCGAAGTAAATTTAGACATACGATTGGATTTAATAGGATAATATTAAATAAATAAATAATATAAGACGAATCTAATAAATTAAATTATTTTATATAAAGATTAAATTTTAAATTCATACTAATTACTTGGATTGGATTCGAATTCAATCGATCCTCAATAGTTAGAACTTATTTTCATCCGCGAAAAGATTTAAACATTTAATTAGAAATAATCAAAAACACTGCAAAAACTAAATTTACAGCATAATATTTTATTTTGGGGTAAGTTTTTAAATTATTTTATTAAGTTGAAAACTTAATAAATTAACTTCATTTTGTGATAATAATTTTTTTCAAAACATCCGTACATATCCACAAATATCTGTTGGTTTTAAAAATTTCATAAAGTATCTCTCTATAAGATACTCATGCAAGTATAAAATAAATATGACACAAATTTTAAAATTCTAAGACTGGTCATAGGTATGTATAACAACCAGTTCTATCTATTTTCATCCTGATCATTCTTTAATTCTTTATATTGTTTGATACATATTTTAATTTAAGTGACATGTGAACAATAAAACTGACATAGGTAATAGTACCTATTTTAATAAAAAAATGTTTAATTTATTAGCTACCTAAATCGAAGAAAAAATCATTAGGTAGCTATTGTGAAAATCAATAATATAATAGAACCTGAATCTTATTTAAGCCTAAAAATTAATAAATTCCTAATAATATATAATCTGCTTAAATATGTTTACCATCATTGTAGAACTATGGAGAGTTGCTTTGTTTCACGGTTTAGGGCGTAGTCTTTATACATTTTGAAATCATTCTCTTTAATTTTTTAAAGATTTTGATTTAAATAATATTTTTTAATTCGACTCTACAATGTTAAAGAATATAAAGAGTAGGTTACCAACGAATTAATTTTTCAATTGATAAGTTATGTAGTAAGGATATTTATGTAATAACATAAATATCTTAGATATTTAGACAGTTAAAAATATCAGTCAAAGCCACTAACCACACTTTAGGTAAGGTGGTTATTATTATTTTGCTACGTAAGGACAGCATACCTCTTAGCTTAAGATCTGAATATATCAGAGCAGTATCCAATTACTCTCTTCTGAGCTTAGCTCCATGATTCACATCTGACTTGAGCGTTCGGAGTATCTTTGCAGGTACTCCCCCTCTCTTGGCGAGTATGAAGAGCAACAATTGAAGAAGTGCAAGCATCCCAGACAACCAGGAGCAACAGAGACACACAGGAAGAAACACACAGGAAAATTACACCGAAACATTTTGGCGCCCACCGTGGGGCCGAGTGCCAACCCAAAGAAGCCACAAGAGGAGCCTCGGCCTCAATGAATCAAACTGCAGCATCGCCACAAGGAATGTCCTCCGCGAGCCGTTAACGCTACCGTGAACACCTCTGCGAAGATCAAGCCCACAAATCTGTACCTGAACCACTGAAACGCAATAATTCAAGAACAAAGATCAAACCCAACCTCTGAAAACTCGATTCGCATATCTAGTTCAATCTTCGAACAACGCCGTCGTGAAATCGTGCCTTCTTCATGGCAATCTGCACCCAAATTGTGATTAGGAACAACCATTTTCTCAATCCAACAGAAACCCCAAAACGTGCAACCATCTTCCCAGGGAACCCTTGTATCTTCTCCTTCAACAAACAAAAGCCACCAATTCCTAATTTCCCAAATTCCCATTACACCAGAAATCGCAGAACGACGGGAACCCTAAATTCCCAAATCGCAACCCAAAAACTCATAGCGCCGCCGCTCTTTCAAATCACTGCATCGCTGTCAATGCCATCTTCACGCCTTCGAAATGGCGAACTCTTCACACAGGAATCAAAACCCCAAGGAACAGAATCGAGATTGAGCACCGAAATCCCCAAATCCAAATTGAGACTAAGAACAGAAAAGCCTCCATCGCGCCACCAGGCGCTGCTGTCACAGGGGCACCACCAAATCATCCTCCATCGCCGCCTCGACTCAGACAAGTCCGCCTTCACCAGTGGCAACACCTGCATCTCCAATTTGCGCTGTCTCCAATCGTTCCACGGTGCGATTGATTCTAGGGTTTTTGGGGGTAAAGATAGATGTTGCAGAGAGGCGGGAAGAAG